ACAGATATGAAGGGTACATAGTGTTATCTTCCTTCTTTCAAGATATTCTGCTGCATAAACACATCCAAGTCAGTGAGCCAAAAATGGTAAAAAGGTAGGCATATTCTATCTCTACTTCTTCCTTCCTTTCATCACAAGGCACCCTTTGTACCCTAGGTATTAGTTTTAATAGATGGAAAAGAAAAAGTATTTTATTTAACTTCTAAGAGAACTTTCAAACACAATGCATCTGATAGTAGCTTAGCTACGTGTTATTGGCTATATGCTCAGAGGGTGTAGCATGGCATAGTCCTGTGGTTTCAGTAAAGCTCTGTAACTTATAGTCAGTAATATGGCCAGTCCTAATATATAAAGAATTGGGTTCTGGTAAACGCAAAGACATATTTGCTTCAAAACCAGATTGAGTTGCTTAAGTTACATTTCCAAGGTGTTTTTTCAGTCACACTATTTTGTAGCTTCACATGCCTACTGCCCCTGACACGAGAGTCTGCTATAACCCACTTCAGTGCAAAATCAGCTGGTCTGAACTGCCATTGACAGTGGCTGAGCTAAAGGAAGGTGCTTTATTTTCTAGTAAAGTGGACTCAGCTATGGGGGTGTTCATCACCAAATAAGGTGCTGCAAACAATATCTTCTTAAATGCCTGTCCTGGTTTGAGGTAAAACAGAATCAATTTTCTGTGCAGTAATTTTACTTTTTAGCTAAGCCTCTTCCAACTCTCTGAAATAAACAGGATATTGTGCAGAAACTGTTCACTCTGAGAGCTAAGATCTGATTATGGCAAGGAATGGTATGCAGAGAGGCCCTTGCTTACACTTACTCCTGTAACAACCACGGTCCCCTAATTTCATTATTTGCCCCGTCGGAGCATCAGAAATGGAAAAGCCTAGAGATCCCACCTGCAGGGAGGAGTGGACAGGACAGGTGACTCAAACCTGACCAACAGAGTATTCTATCCCATCTGCACTACGCTTAGTACAAAAGCTGAGGGATCAAAGGGTCAGCCTCTTTCCACAACAGCCCATGTCCAAGGAGGACCCTGTCTGTTTGTCTTCCTTTGGTCCTGATCTATGCATTCCTGACTCCAGAGCCGGAACACAGTTCCTGTCCATCGCTGAGTGCAGTCTGGGACTTCCCCAGTGCCTGCCAGTGACATCATCCTGGGAGCTTGATACAGGTTTGTATACAATGTATCTATTTCATTATTTCCTTTTTATTTTATTATTAATATTTTCATTAAAGTAGTTTAGTTCCTTCTAAACTCATAAATCTCTGTTTTTCTTCCTCCTCTCCTTGGAGAGAGGTGGGGAAGCATATTATTGGCCAATCAGGCCCAAACCATGACAATGTCCCAGTTGATTCCACCAGCCGGTATTTAGCAGTGGCCTCCTTTGGCTTGGTTTAAGCTAATTCAGGGCCTTGACATATTGACATAAAAAAATCAGTAAGTTCAATGTAGAATGGAGTAAAAATTATCTCCAAATTTAAATTGGGTTTAACAAAGCCACAGCAATTTCTTGTGGACTCAAATCAAAACCCTAAACTGGCCACTTGAAGACGATGAGGCAAGCTCTAATTTTATCATCTTCCTTTCCCAAGAAAATCAAGTTTATGACAGCATCTTGTTTACATCCATGTTTTGTTCTTCCCATTGTCCATGTTTTGTTCTTCCCACTGTCCCCACACTAGTTTTGATTTCCAGTTTTGTAAAACTGATTAACGGATACAAATCTCAAAGATAGTATGTTGCAGCAACTCCTATGCAAATTTACGTCAGGGCAGACAAAGAGATGTACACAGACACTGTGATCTACCAAGGTGACAATATGAATTTAGTCATATCAGGCACAAAATTCCAAAACAAAATTCAAAGCAGACAGAAAAGAGCCATAGGAGAAGAACCCTTGTAAGCTCCACTTGCAAAATGTTGGTTCTTTCAGAGCATCCAAGGACTTTTAGCACCAAACAGAGCAACATCACAACAGGTTGCTTCTGCTAGTTTAAATTCTTTGTACCACTATGATCTGCCCTGTCTGTGTCCTTCTCTATTCTGGATTGCCAATAGCAGAAGACACTCAGCAGTCCTCAACCATTTAATGCTGAATTAAACTGCATTTCAGTTCACTTATCTTGACAAAAATTAATCTGAAGACCAGCTCATTTTTATTCTTATTTTTATTTTCTTGATATGTCTATTCTTTGTGGTAGGAAGAGGAAAGATCCTTGACTTCAGCATCTTTGCTGTACATGTTTAGAATAATAGAGCATACATGACTGAATCGATTCCTGATTAAATTCCACTGAAGTAAACTGACTGACTGGGTTCTGGCTTCTCTCCCAGCAGCAAAGGAGCAATTTCCATCGAGTGTGCTGGTGAACACGGCTGTGACAATGATCCAGTGTACAACATGACCACAGAGCAGGGAGGTGCAGGCATCTGCCTGCTCAGAAAGTCAGCTGTCGTTGATGTGCTTTTAAGCACTTCGTCCCTTTCACCACTTATTCTTGCTGGAGTACACTAAGACCTCTAGCAATTTGTGATAGTTAGAAAAGAAAAAAAGGAGTCATGGATTGAAGCTCTGGAAAAGGATTGTGTCTGTAGCCTGTCCTTTCTGGGCCCTAGTTTGTCACCAAAAATAAATTCTTCCTAGGCAGAGCTGGCAGGCTTGTGATATACTTTAATGATCATGAATTACAGAAAAGAGTGCTTGTCCTCAAAGACACTGTCTATCCTTGTTTGAGTATATATAACAAAGTGGATGTTGTCAACCACAGCTACTGCATTTTAAAACATCTTTCTGAGTAGCATTTAGAGAGACAAAAACTTTAAACTTTTGGGGACACTGTGACAATAGGAAGACTATAATTTGAGTACGTCGTTCAGTTGTTTTTAATAGGGAACTTGTCTGGAAATTGTTATACTGTTTTCCTGGGTTCTGACCTGGTATTGTCTCAATATTATGTGTAAGTCTTTCCAAATATTTCAGGAAATTTTGAGTGTGGCGTTTTCTCTTTTTTTACCTGCTTCTCCTTAGGGGTCTGCTCCCACAAACTCCCTGTACGCATATTTTACTGTCTTCAGTTTCCTACATAGGGATACGGGATACAGCAATGACAATGTCAAACCAGGCTGCAGCTCAGGAAAAAGAAAGGACTGACCAACTGCTTGAAAGCAAGGAATTGGTAATGAGATAAAAAGCAGTACTACCAGCAACTTTAACTGTCTCATTCTGTTATCAGAAAGAAGATTATTTCTATTGCTATTTGTTCAGATACCTCTGTGAGAAACACCTAATGGCTGCCACACTAAAACTAAAATGTCGTTTGAAAAAGGGTCACTTATCAGGCTGTTCTTGCTGTATTTGTGAAGGTACAAAGGTTGCTTCCACTATCTTTATTTGCAGATGTTTGGAAAGAGCAGTTAATCAGTCGCAATATGGTATTTCCTCCAAGCAACTCAGTCTTCACCCTAGTCAGAAACTGCTGGCAGCTTCTTAGCTACCTTTTCTTCTCTGGTTTGGTAGCCAACAGTTCCTAATTCAAGCACTCACCTCACAGGCCACAGATTCAGCCTTTCCCTCAGGTCAGTTGAGGCTTTGCTTCTGCCACATGGCACCTACTGCCCCAGCCCATCTCCTGTTGGCAGAGACACAAGTTGGGCTCTTTTGCAATGGTATACTTGGGGTCTACAATGGGGGAAAAAAGATGCCACCTTCCTTTGCCTTTCACAGTGGGAAAGGAGACAATGCCAGTCTTCAACAAACCTTGTTGATTTGTTGCAATATTCTGCAAACCTGTGAAGTGGGCAGCCCTCTCCCCCATGCCTTCTGAGATGTGATTCCTCCAGAGGAGTCTAGACTGACCAGTCCCCAGGGACATTTGTCAACCCTCGCATGCAGTTCTTGTTCTCAGAAGAATGCCTTCAATTTTGCATAGATTTTTGTCTTGCATTTTGTCTTGCATTAGGCTGTGCGGGTCCTCATGGTTTTTCTGCTCCTTGAAAAGAGGGGGATTTGGTTTTTGTTCTACCCAGTCTTAGTGAAAACAGGGTTTCCAAAACTCAGTCAGCATTGCTGCTGGGTTTGAAATTTTTCCACTTAAGAATAAAGAGTTTGGCACACAGCCATTTTATTTTGCGTTGGGTGGCACTGAAGTGGGTCTTTGCTGTTACTAACTCTTTTCCCTCCATTTTTTTTTCTTTTCTTCTTTTTTTCTTTTTCTTTTCTTTTTTTTCCATCTTTTTTTTCCAGTGGAAAGGATGGGTCAGATGAGAAGGTGCGAGACCTTTAACTCTTTGTCAGCATGCAAAAGAAATCTTTTTGTCCAAACTGTGCATATATATACTCAGAGGGGAGAATGTGTTGTGCTTTTTTTTCCTACTGAGACAACCAAATCAGTGTAATTGCGAAGGTGAATTCAGCTATACAAACAGCCGTGCATCAGCCTACTCCCATAAATGCCACGGATTAGATAAACCAAAAATCCCTTTAGCTGATAAAACAGCGAGAGGAATATGATGATTTACCCTCCACCCCTGAGGGAAGGGAGCCTGGTCTTTGGTCCGAGACGGTGGGGAAAAGCCACTCGGTTGTGGAGGGCAAACTCCTCCAGAGCCTGGTGTCTACGAGGAGCCCTGTCAAAGGCGGTGGTGGGGGTTGAGATTTCCCTGCTGCTTGTCACAGGCTCCACGACAGGTCAAAGTACGGCATTTGTTGCCTAAACCGAGGTAAGTTTTCCACTGAGCTCCGCGAAGTAGGGTGTAGGATTAGGCCTCAGCCCAGCAGCCGTGCGGGTGCCCCTGAGATGTGGCGGCAGAGGAGGGGGCCTGGAGGCCTCGGGGTGCCCGGGGAGCCGAGGGGAGCCTCCTCGGGGCCAGGCGGGATGTTCCGCTGAGGCGGGATGTTCCTGTGCCGCTGCCGCGGCGGAGCTCCCCGGCCGGCCTGAGGGGAGGCCGGCGCCGCCATTTCGGCCGCTGCCCGCCCCGCGCCCG